GATTGTTGTGTCTTGTTGCTTTTCTTCTTTTGTCTCTCCTCTATCCACTCACCCCAACCAGTCGAGGCAGAAGGCCGCCCACCAAGAGCCGGGGTCTGTCGGAGGTTTCTTCCATTAAAGGGAGTTTTTCCTCCCCACTGTCGCCAAGTGCTTGTTCAAGGGGGTTTTGTTGGGTTTTCCCTATGTAATAATATTGATGACAGTAAGGTCTAGACCTTACTTTGTAAAGTGTCCTGAGATTACTTTTGTTGTTATTTGGCACTATACAAATAAAATTTGATTTGATTTAGTAAACGAGTAAATTCAGGACAGGTAGAGAAATTGTAAAGGAGAATTTGGAAAGGGTTGTAAAGTGATGAAGTCACTGAGGGAGAGAGGTGCAGTCAAAATATAGAAGAATGAAAAATGTACAATAACAAAGGAGAGATTTATATTGAGTGGCTTTTAAATGGGAAGAAAAGATGGAGTGGATTGAGATTCATGGTTATGATAATACTTAGCCTTCCTATTTGGGACACTGCACAAAATACTGAGGACTGTTTTGTGTGTATATAATGAGTCCCTCTGAATATGTAAAGTTTTTTGTGCAAACACAGAACTGCCTATACATATATAAACCATACAGCACAGGCACAAACCAAAATGTACACATTAGCAAAATTTATATCAATAGACACGAATGTACATTTTAGAAAACATTTAGTTGATAGCAGCAAATGAATAAAGTCAGAAAATTAAAAGTAGGGTTGGCAGTCCTGGAAAAACCAACAACAGGAAGCTCGATTATGAATGGAGACAACCAAAGAAATCCCACCCTTTCCTTCTGACTCTTCCAAAAGACGACGTGCACTGCCTGATTACTATTTACACATTTCAGAAAAATACCAGCTGGCTCCCAAACAAAACAAAAAAACCAATCATGACCCATCCAGCAGAAACAGAGCCACCATGGCGTCACTTTTCAGCCCCTTTTGCTCTCAGTTGTCACCATCTTTCAAAAGTCACACCAATGTTAATTCTGGCTTTACTTCTTGTAGCATCCAACTTCTTTTTAGTTGTAACTTTCTTGAATGCAGTGTTACCCACCCAGATCTGTGATCCCCAACCATAGTTGGGGAGCTCTGGTTCATGGCTAAACTGCTTTAGCCCTGGCTTGTAGCTGGTAACTAGCCTTAGAGGTCCAGGCTTTCCCGGCGGGGAGAAGAGAAGAGAGAGGCCAGCCAACTTTGTTCAAAACACAGGCTTTATTCCATCTTGGTAACAGAAGCACTTCATGTGGCCTTTGATGCTCCGTTAACTGCTCTCCAATTCTATCTATGCACTTAGAGCTGACTAACCGTATATTGGTATTTTCCCCACCTGTGGCTGTTTGTAAAAGGAGTTGCCTTCTCACTGGAGGGAGCTGTGGCAGTAAACCTCACTGGAATGAGTACATCAGCAGAGACTTGGTGAGAAGAGGCGTTCACCTGCATGAATTTGATTGGATATCAGTTATCAGCTGATAGCCATAGAGATGATGAATGAGCCATGCCGTGGATATGAAGCATGGATGAAATAGCTGCTGCCAGCGAAACAGAGGGTGCTGAACAAATGACACATTTTCCAGCTCCCTCACTCCCTCCACTCCTCACATTCTCTCCCTCTGCTGGAGTTTGTTTGATGAAACCTCTCACTGTTTGGAAAATTGTCTTGTCAGCTTCTATTTGCTTCATTAGTGAGATGATTATTAAAGTGCACGTGTTGTTTGTGAGTTAAAGTTGGCACAGTGGTTTATTTGATTCATGATTTAATTTTATTTTAATATGCAAGAAGTAACAGAGACAGCGTTCAGTTCTTTACTGATTTTGTTAGTTTGTTTGGATCTCAGTTGAAAATATACTGAATAAATGGAGAGACACAGGAGGGGCGTTGGCAGGATAGCAGCTTTAGATGAAACTACTATTTAAATTTCCGTGAACGTGTGCAATTGTGCATATGTAGATGGGCAGATTTGACATTGTGGTGCATTGTTTTGATTTACTGAGTTTGTGTCTATGTTTTTTAGAACCAATTATCTAAATTGCCGTTATGTCTGGGTGTCCATTCAAGCATGCTTACTGACAGAAAAACAGTACGGTGCAAAAATGTGCCCGTATGTCTGTGGGTGCGAGTGTGTATCTCTAGGAAAGCAATGGATTCCTCAGTCTAACTTCCACCTGAGGATGTGGAACTTGGACAGGTGATTGAAACAATAAGGTCTGACATATTAATCAGAGTCTGTATGTCTCCTGAGGAACAGTGATGGGTTCTGCTGTGCTGAGTGACTTGTCATAACTCCTCTGTTTCTAACCGCAGACTCTGTCCTATCATAACTCTTTTCATTACAGCCTTAATGGGCCAGTCAACACCAAGCTGGCCAAGGGATCTTTCCTCTGCTCTTTACATCTTGACAGCGGTGTAGAGCTTTCTCCTCTTCTTTGCTTTAATCCCCTCTCCTTATTTTTTTTAATCCACTTAACACTTTTTACTTAGCTGTTTCTTTTTTTCACCCTTTTATGTGTTTCACATGTTCCATGTGCTTCTTTCATTCAGTTTTCATGTCAGGGAGCCATTGTACTATCATTTATGAGCATAGCCTGCTGAGCATATCAGTGGCAGGTTGTGTAGGCACTGCATGATAAGAGTAAATTATTGTTTCATGTTTCTCTTGTATCAACTGTTTGTACGTGTAAATGTATCATACAGTGTACACGCAAAGTGTCTGTAACAATACATGCTGCTGATCAATTTATGAAGTATTTATATTGTCCTTCATGTGCACAAGTTGCTTCAAAAAGTATTCGGACCCCTTCACTTTATTATATTGTAAATTCAGTTTTAAATGGATAAAATTGCAATTTTGCCTATCATTAATCACTCATAATGAAGTGCAACAATCAAAAACTGAAATTTCTCATTTAGAAAAATATTCCCACAATACTTTGTTGAAGCCCCCTCAGTAGCAATGAAAGCTTTGAGTCTTCTTGGGTAAGTCTTTACAAACTTTGCACACCTGGATTTGAGCGGTTTATCCCATTCTACAGTCAGAGACTAGTCCTGAAGCCACTCCAGTGTTGTCTTGGCTGTGAGCTTTGGGTCAAAGGTGAACCATCCCCCAAGTCTTAGGCTGCTGCACGATAGAGCAGGTTTCCTTCAAAAGCCTCTGTGTATTTGGCTGCATTCATCCCTCCCTCACTTCTGACCAGGATCACACGCGTGTCCCTGCCACTGAGAAGTACCTCCATGATTGTTTGAATGATGGAGTGCTACTGAGATGGTCATCCTACACAGTTGTGTCCCTTTCTAAGCTATGTCCAATCTGTTCAAATTTCCCCAGGCAATTTTATCAATTTAAAATCAATTCAACAACTACAACACAAAGTAAGCAAAAACGGAAGGAGTCTGAATCTAGACCACTGGAACACCTGCTCACATAGAGGTCTACAAAAATATACAGAGGCCGCACTGAATCAGGTCACTGTACCTGGTATTATTACACATTTATTCCCTAAAGGTTGGACATTTTAAGGCTTTTTGCTTTGACACTACAGCTCCCCAATGATTGTAGTACATTAAGATCATTGTCACAGATGAGGGGGAAAATTTATTAGGGCTTCTTTTACCTGCAGTATGTGTGTTTGTGTGTCTGGACAAATGGATAGCGCTAACACGTGTGGAAGGTTAATAATAATCACCTTTATTTTGCCAAGTATGTTACACACAAGGAATTTGTTTCCAGTACAGAACTGAGGCAGCCATCTGTGGCGCCAACTCGTACCAATGGCTCTAACCATAGGGGGTAACTTGGGGGATCAGTGTCTTGCCCAAGGACAGTTCGACGAAGGTGTTAGGTAGAGAGGATCAATAATGGTGATGAGAGTCAGGCCAACAAATGCATCATCCTAATCACCCTGGACCTTAAGACCTCACAGACTCAGTCCTGCCACTCTGTGTGTGTGTGTGTGTTACAGTCTGCAGACGTGTAGATATCAGCACATTTATTTATCCATTTGTCATCAAAACTTTTAGCTCAATAAAGAAACTGTCCTCCCAAAAGAGGCTTTCATTCCACAGGAGATGAGGCAAGTTTACAGGATGCACTGTAGGAACCAGGGACATCCTGGCACAAACTGGATATAATGGATAGCTGCATTATGTGGCATCATATTTGCAACTTCACCAGGTAAATTATAATCTCGCTGCAGCCCGGTGCCAACAAAGGAAGGGCAGAGCATCAGGAAAAACTATTAAAGCTACTTTCTGGATTGGAATTCAGCCTCAGCACAGTAGAGTTTGTTCCAAGTTACAATTAGCAGGAAAGGGATGGCCCAAGCCAAAGCACTGATGGTGTCTAGAAATAACCTTCTCTTGAACTCTGTTATTTTAGCACTGGATTTATAGTTTAAAAATGCAAACAAAATAGCACAGTCAAGGAGTGAAATATGTGGAAACTGCTGGTGGCGGTGTGACAAAATAACCTTAAGGATCCACTTGCTGTCTCTACGAGAGTAAAGATCTTTGAGTTGTTATTATTTCATCATATTTCCATCCTCAGATGTTGGTGATTAGTTCTAAACTGGTGCAGATGCTACTTTGTATTCAAAATAATCAACACACAAATCATCTGCCCTTTCTTTTGTTCCACCAGGATCCCTGCAGGGGGAATACCAGAGGAGGCTGTACAAGGAGCTGCTGGCTAACTACAATCGGCTAGAGAGACCTGTGGTGAATGACTCGGCTGCTATCCTGGTGGAGCTGGGCCTCACACTGCTGCAGATCATAGACGTGGTGAGGAAATAGCTGTCATTTGTATTCACTTATACGCACTCGTTTGTGTGTGTGTGGCACATTGTTTAATTTTAGTCACCGTGGTGCATTGGCCACATGCAAAAATATATTTCTATGTCTCTTTCTATCTTACATAAAGATATGCTGGACTGGGACATGAAATAATTACTGCCCCACACATGTATGTGCACACACTGAGGACTTCATGCCTTGTTTTTCACTCCTACTGGATTTATTGTTTGAACCTTGCAAGTTTTCATTTCTTACATCTCTTTCATTATTTTTTATATGAATATAGATTTTTTTTCAGTTATCCTCTTCTTCAGATCAATAGAGGCACTTTGGGGCATTTTTCTCCTCAAGAGCAGGGTTTAGCATTTCCCAAGGCCACAGTCTGCATGTTGTGTCCACCTGAGTTTGACACCCATGAGACATTCCCAATATTATGAAAATGAACATTCCTTCCTCTGCCCTCCCGCTGTGACCCCAAATCAATTTATTTACTATCCTTAATTACTTTTCAAAATGTAAAAAGTTTTCACTGAGAAGACAATTTAGGGATGTGTTAAATCCCACGAGTTTCATACCAGTGACATGTCTGCTCTCATTTGTCAGCGTAAACAGGTACATCTGTGTGTTTGGAGTGTTCTTCCTTCATACTTTTCACAAAGGAATAATTTTAGGGTTGTTTGTGCTTGTTCCTGTTCTTGTCTCATTTGTCTGACAGTGGAGAAATGAATCATGCTTTACTCAGATTGTCTAGAGACTCTAACAGAGTGAATTGGACATGTAACCTACAAGCAGGTGAAAAATGGAAGGGCAAACTAACATAAACTGTCTCAGTAAGGTGTTGGGTCTCCACATGCCACCAGAACAGCTTCAGTGCTCCTTGGTATTGACTGTACAAGTCTCTGAACTCAACTAGAGGGAGGAACACCATTCTTCCAAAAGATACTCCCTTACTTGGTGTTTTGATGATGGTGGCGGATATGCTGCCTAACACGTCAATCCAAAATGTCCTATAGTTCAGCTCTGGTGACCGTGAAGGCCACAGCATATGATTCACCTCATTTTCATACTTATCAAGCCATTCAGTGACTCCTCATGCCCTGGAAGAGAGAACAGATTTATTCATGTTTTCCCTTTACTTTGTCACCTGTCTGTAATCTACACCGTGTGGCGTTGTGTCTATCATACTTGAAGAGAGGACTGAGGCAGAGGTGAGCAAATTCCCAGCAGTGTTAAGTAAACATGATTAGGAGTTCAATAAAAAAAACTTTTATCACTAGTAATTTAAGCAAGGCACTAAAGCTGAAGTGGGACTCACTCAAACCAGCACTTTATATGCTTATATTGAGTGCTGCAGATTATATTTCCTCAACTGGATACGTCTGTTTCTGAAACACAGCAGGGATGCTCATTCAACATTTCCAGATGGACTGAATTTCAATAAGAAACATTTTTCAGTCCATGTCTCAGCAAATACGCAGCTGTCTCTCTTCCCTGTAACTTCCGTAAAACCTGCAGATTCACTGCTCACATTTAACTTTCTTTTAAGTATAGGAATAGAAAGCTGGCTGAGAGATTATAGTTCAAATAGTAATATTACCTTGTATCATTATGTGTGATTCATGGTGTACTACAAAGAACCAGAGGTGTGTTGGTGCACTGTAATTTTACTGCTCAGTTGTCAAGCACAGTTTATTCATAGGATTTAAAATGTTGACTGACTGGTGCTTGCAAAAAAAAAAAAAAACATTTGTTCATGGTGAAACAGAAGTTCAAAGAGGAGAAAGGTGTTTGTAAAAGCTTTGTAAGATTTGTCAGCATGTTGTAGAGCTAATCGTAAAACCAATTTTTATTTGATTGTTTACTGAAGGGACTGCATGATTTTTTTTTAGTTGCACTTTCTTTTTGTTACTCTGTGATCCTCTGGGTGCCCTTTTCTCTTGTGGGTCATTTTGTGCGGGTTTTATTTCAGTATACGAATAAAGCCTGTCAACACTCCTCCAGGTATATCTATCAAACAAGTGTTTACAGGTTTGCAGAGATGATTTATCACACCTAACCAGTATAGATGTTTTACTGAAAACAGACTGAGAAGCAAGCGTGTATATTTTCACTATCCACTGAATGCTGCAGGCTTTTAGACATTCTGACCTTGGGTGAGAGAAGTTGATATTTTCAGGTTATAAAACTGTATATGACCCACAGTTTTATTTTCTTAAAATTGCTAAGACAGAGACACACTTTCGGTTATCTTCAGCTGTCTTTTGCTCCATCATATGGGTCATTTCACATACTGTATGTGCTACATTGAAAAAAAGAACACTTCTACTGTCTCATTCAGTTTTCCTCTCCTTTCGTCTTGACCAAACATTTTGTTCTGACTTTTCCACTCTGCACTGGGAGAATACGAGCAACATAAGTTGCTAAGTGCTATATTGTTTGTACTCTTTGACAAAGTTCTGAAGTTCATTATTTGAAAAGGAGAGAGGCTTCAGTCTGCACTGTTTGTTTATTTATTTTGGACAAAAAGTAATTAATTATAAGAAGAAATGAACTATAATTACTTATTAGGCATGTACATTCATCCAATTTTTATGTGCATTTTTTAATTTGCATAAAAAGCTGGAATGAGTCAAGCAAAGAAACATTAAGAATTTAATTTTTTAATTCTTTTAATTATTTTTTTTCCTGTGAATATGATTTATCTTACTGGGTTTATTTATTAGAGCCAGTATGACATTATACAGTTTGTCACCACTGTTTAAATCCAATATGATTAGTTGCCTTATAAGGACAGTATAATTAGTTACAGTAGATGGTCCCACTATGAAACAGAGGTACGCTTGGTTAGATGAAACCTGGTTTAAGACTGTGTTACACAGCCTGGTTTGTTCACTGACTTGCTGATGACAAAGCCCTTTTGCACTATATTAAATATTGATTGGCCTAGCTGTCTTCTCTTATACAAAAAAACCTCACTCTTTCTTTTCATTTTGTTTTTTTCCTCTTTCTGTTCTCAGGATGAGAAGAACCAGGTGCTGATGACCAACGCCTGGCTGCAGCTGGTGAGTCAGGTTTGAGAAGGACATATTATCAGTTTAATATGCTTCATTTATGTTTCTGATATTATTACACAATTATCTTCTAATTGCTCTAACTGTTCCTCAATTTACAAATGGCAGTGCTTGATGATGATACTGAACTGTAACTGTGCACATTCAGAAATACAGTTTCTTTCCTTAATTAATTATTCATACTTGCTCACAGTCTAAAAGACATTATATGCAATTATTTTCAGAGCTTCCAGTTTCATGCTCATTACTTTTGGTGGAAAGTCAGGGTAGCTCAAAAACAGATTTTTGAAAAGCAGAAGATCCATCTTTAGCTCACTGCAGTGTTACCATCTTCATGGTGTGTTGTCGAGCATTCAAAAGAGAGCTCTTCACCGTTCCATTGGACATTTCAGGTTTTGCAGATTTTTGCACAGTTAAAAAACAAAACTTTACTTTTTGTTCTCTCGGTCTCAGCACTGGACAGACATCTATCTGAGCTGGAATCCAGAAAGCTACCCCGGTGTCCAGAACCTGAGATTCCCTTCAGACCAGATCTGGACCCCTGACATCCTCCTTTACAACAGGTCAGAACCGTTTGCTGCTGCTCATCACTGCCTTACTTAAGTCAAAAGGTTTGTGACCTTCACTTTTTCTTTTAAATTCTTAAATATTTAAAGGTTAAATGACCTCTATTTTTGTAATAAATCTGATTAAAACAAAAAATGTAAAAGATAAAATGGGGTGGACCCTTACATTGTCAGTGCTCTGCAAGAAATGGACACGCCTGTCGGAAGCACAGCATGTTTTCTTGCTATTTTATTTTTGAGAAGAGTGAATGAAATATCAGTCTAAACCTTCTGATCTGCAGTTATTATGTTAAAATCTCTCTTTAATCTTCACAAACTACAGCAGCATCAGTGTGATAAACAATCACACCGAATCAACCCAGTAACACAGACAACAGGAGGAGATGGGCCATTTTAAAAACTTGAACTCGATTGCATTCAACTGCGGTGGCATCCTCACTGGTGTAAATACGTCTGTGAACAATTCATGTTGCTTTTTTGAATAACATTTGCATGTTTAACCTCTCCTATTATCTGCTATTGACAAAATTTAAACTGCCTCAACTCACTGTCACTTCTTACAATATAATGTAGGCTGTTTGACTTCTGTTTGATTTGAGAATGCAACAATAAAACAAGGATTCTTCATAATATGATGAGATCAAATCTGATCAGGACTGATGTCAGAATGCTGGAGGTCATTTTTATTATAGTAACATCTCCATTAAAATGTATTTTTTTGTTTTTTAGGCATTAAGGACACGTTAATTGGTTGGCTGAGCATTTTGTGATTCAGATCAGCCTTGTGCTTTTTGCCTATCCACTGTGCTTCACGTTTCTGTGCAAGGCTTTCTCAAGTCAGTTAGACATGTAGGCCAGTTGTTTTCTCCAAGACAACTAATTACATTGCATTTGCATCCTTGAGTGAGAGACAGATGATGTTGTCTGAGATTAAGAAGTGGATAAATTCAAAGACAATAACACAAATGCAGCGTGTACAGAATATTGTAAAACAGAAGATGTGATAGTTATAAACGCGAAGTGAGATTAAACCTGACGGTCGACCATCTCTGATGTTGCTGAGTGGA